TGTACGGAGGCTTTAGTCCTCCAAGACGACTGCACGGGTTCAAATTCAACCTGTGGCTCCTTCCCCACTCTCTCTCTCTCTCTCTCTCCTCAGTTACTCTATCCACTGTCCTGTGTCTAAAAAAAGGCATAAAAGAATAATAATTTTAAATTTACTTAGGTGCTGAAACATGACTCCGTTGCATTAAAAGTTTGTGTTTCAGGTGCAAAGTTTTCCCCTTCCACTTCTCCATGGGGAGTTTTCTTGGAGCTGACCTCCAGTGGTGAGAGAGAGGAACTGCAGCTTTTCGGTCTCCCGCTGTGTGAGCTGCTGTTTACTAAAACACAGATGGTCACTGTGATCGTTGATCCTTCAAACATTTATCCTCGAGGGGTTTAACAGAAAGTCTCTGAAGCCACCTCGCTCTACGGCACAGCGGGTTTCTGTGACGTTCATGTTGCACCTGAAACATGAAACAACCCGTTTACTAAAAAATGTATAAGTGGATGAGAACAAATCCTTTTAGTGTCACAGAGTACACTGATTTGATCCTTTGAGTTATTTCTGCCTGGCAGTGATATGAAGTTGTGCAGACTTATTCCAAGCTGATGTTATTCCTCCGATGTTATTCCAACATTGACTGTGATTCAGATGTTTGAGGACTTTCCAGATATCCTGGAATCTGTTGCAGATTGACCTGAAAATCGAGGAGCTGGTGTCCTGAAATGTTTTAAAACTCTAAAATGAAAGACCTGGAAGCAGATTCTACAGGATGTGGATGTTTTAAGCTCGAGTGGTTAAACTACAGATTTGACTCGTAGATGGATCTCTCGCTCTTGCTTTGTGACTTTGTGACTCCGTCTGTAACTTTGTGTTTGTGCGGCTGACGGTCTAAGTCGGGTCTCCCTTTAAAAAGAGGTTTCTTAATCTCAATGGGACCAACCTGGTTAAAAAAAACCATGTAAAACTCTGGAGGGTTTCTGCTCCTGTACCCGACTGTCAATGTCCCGATGTATTTGAACATAGAACAGGCCTAACCGTGTCCAGAGGAACCTCCAGAACAAAAGGCGCCGAAAAAGTGGGCGGTCATGGTTGAGCTCTATAAACCGACTCTTATCAACGTCGTCTGTGACAAACTGTAAAATAACATCTATTCTCTAAAGACACAGTATGTTGTTTGTGTTCTTTCTATGACCTTTCAGATCTGTGTGTATTTAATGGAGCGTTGGGTTGAACGTGTTGATGATGGCGGTCTCACTCAGTGTTTAGCCTTAGAGCTCTAGCTGCTCTGACACCTGCAGCAACACTTCCATGTTTCTAAGTAAACTGCTCTTTTTTTTCTGTTTAATTTTCTAATTGCTCCTAAATTATTGGCGTTGCACAGACTGTTCAAACGGCCGATTCCTCTCCGAGCTGAACACTCAGCACTTCACTCGCTGTTAATTGGTGCCGTTGGATTGACTGACAATTGTCTGTGTTGGTCCCTGGGTAAATAACAGTAAATCCTGTGGAATGGCTCTTTATTGACCCATTAGAAAGACTGCATCATCAACACACACGCACACACACCCTCACAGAGTGATTTGTGTTTGCAGTGTATCCTCCAAGGCTCCTACACGACAACTCAATATACTTTGTGTGTGTGTGTGCTGTACATTGATGGAAACCCTCACAGGCAGAAACATTGATCACCTGCCTTTGATTCACCTGAAGAACTGACGGTAGCGTCGCTGAGTAGATGCTAATAAACACACCGTTCACACACATTGAGTAAAGAAGTGAAATACACACACACACACACACACACACACACACACACACACACAGCATGTACATGTGTGAACTTTGGTTGACTGTTTTTTCAGCCATGACCCTGACCTGCTTTAGTTTCCTCTCTTTAAAGCTGATCTCTCTCACACAGCGGGCGGCCATTTTGGCTCAACGTAAAGGACAGGAGCTGTAGTTGAAAAAATCCTAAAAATGCTCCTCCTACGTTTCGTTTTAACCACTTCACCTTGACTGTGGTGAAAATGCTGAGGTCTAGGAAAGATGTAAAGAAGGAAATGTTGATAAACTAAAAGTACGTGTAAGATTATTTCCCCCTTGTGATCTTTCTTTGTGTCATGCAGGATGAACTTGATTAAATACCAACCTAGCATAGACTCAGCTAGCTGCTAATTGTTGCTAATATGTAAATAAAATAAAGTTCTTATGTGGAGCTCAGACTTGTTGGATGGTCTGTTAGTCCAATAAAGCTCACAGAGAGACAGATTATTAGTCTGATATTTACAGGAACAAATCTCCAAAAAGCACAAACACGGCCCAGAGGTTAAAGGTCTGTCAAGGTCTGAGCTGAGGGGACACCTAGCAGACAGCTAGCAGCTACCACCTGTCACTCAAACCAGGCCACGCCCCCTAATTCTACATCCCTTTAAGCCTTAATATAATGTAAACAGGTGAGTTATATAAACATTCAGCCCGAACAGTTGAAGAGAGAAATGAGATCTAGAGACTCAAACTGTTTTTATTCCAGGATGTAAACATGTTTATTTTAACATAGAGCTCTATGGGGACTGACTCACTGCAGGACACAGACTCTAGTGGACACTGGAGGAACTGCAGATTTTGGCACTATAGCAGGGCTCTCCTTTTCTCAGCTTACTTTCCTGTAATCCCTCGGCTTTGACTCGCAGGCTGTAACATGTGTCTGAGGGGAAAGTTTCCATTCGACACCTGTGATGATAAAAATCCAACGCTCACTTATTTTACTATACTGCTGCTAAGTGGGTGATCTATCACGGATGAGTTATGCAATATAACACATACACACACAAACACGCACACACTGACTCTCTCTCTCACACACACACACAGGTAGAAATCATAACAGTGATGGTGACAGCGATGGTAGAGATAAAAGAACAGTCCACGTATTACAGCATGGTAGCATGACGACAGGCGGTGACAGCCTGGAGAGAGAGAGAGAGATTACTGAGACACACACACACACACACACACACACACACACATGCACTCAGAGGGTGAGATACGTCTCCCTGCATAGAGATGTACTCAGCTGTAATCTCTTTGTCTACAAGAAACACTCAGAAGGATGGTAACAGGGAGGGTGTGTGTGTGTGTGTGTGTGTGTGTGTGTGTGTGTGTGTGTGTGTGTGTGTGTGTGTGTGTGTGTGTGTGTGTGTGTGTGTGTGTGTGTGTGTGTGTGTGTGTGTGTGTGTGTGTGTGTGTGTGTGTGTGTAAATACCATCTCGGAGATCAATCATGTTTTCATGCAATTAACGATGTTTTTATAATTTCTTATTCTTTTGTTGTTGAGGTACTTTGGCTCTCTTAAATCTCTTCATCCACCTCGTCTCACTCCGGACTCCTTCAGTAGAACAGCTTGGTCTACACTTCAGAAGTGGCACTGTGACGTCTCTTTAAGACGCTCTCCTCCAGCTTCCCGTTTGATATGCCCCATGTGAAGTTTGAACGAGATTCAAACGGTAAAAGACATAAATAGACCATTTAAAAATAAAACATTTCTTCAGTTCAATGAAACTTTGAACTGAAAATGTCGTGTTAACGCAGCCAATCGGAGACTCTCGTCCCATGTCATTGAGGTCAGAAACTCTAAAAGTCCAGACTGTGCGTCCTGATGATCATAGGAAGGTAATTCATGCTTTTATTTACTTTTCTGCGTACTTTTTTACGTAAGCATTGCACAAATATTTAAATGGGTTGTAACTTTTGACTAAAAACATTTGTGTTTTGTTGTTGTTGTAGATTGTTGTGTAGAAAACATTTAGTAAACAATGTATTTAAAGTGATATAAATCTGTTATTGTTGTTGTTGGTGTTTTTATAGCAGAAGTAGAAGTATCATCATCCTATTTACAAATCTTAACATTTGACATTGATATCGTCTTAAAATTTTTAATGAAAATATAAATCCTAATAATTAAATTATATGTGTAAAGTTTTATATTAGAAATTGGCCTTTAGTTTTTATTTAAAGGAACACAAGGTACTGAGACATAAACCTTCCTGGCCTCTGTAGTCACTTCTTTCTCTCTCTCACACACACACAGACACACACACACACACACACACACACACACACACAGCCTGTCATCCTGTAATGGCTGCCACTGCTCATTGTTCACATCCTGCTTTGTCCGCAGCGCCATTTTGACTCTGAGGGAGGAGGAGCAGCTAGTTAGCATCACACCCAGAAACACTAACGGCATGGAGCTAACCATGATGCTAACACACTCACAGCGCTAGCAGAACAAAACATGCTAAAGCTAACTCTCAGAGCTGCTCTGTCTGCTCTCCTCACATGATGAAGCTAACTGTTAGCTCACAGTCACAGGCACAGGGCTAGCCATGCTAAGCTAACATGTGCCAGAGAAAAAGCTCCTGCTGTGGCCTCAGACTTTCTCCTCTTTCTTTTTATCTGCTCTGGAGAATATCGCCGGGTTATCTCTGTGTAAACATGAGCCGAGCCAAGCTGAGCCAATCCAGGCCATATCAGGCTATATATTTATACAAGAGGGTAAAGTGTGGGAACATTGAATTCTAACATTTAAATTAGAAATCTGCATTTGATCCAACTGTGAGTCCTAACATAAACAATAACCTTTATAAATAGCCTACAGCCTTTTTAGAGTTTAAAATGTTAGAGAATAAAATATTTATTATTCAGAAAAAAGATTGGTTTGAAAATTAGAAAATAAATAAAACAAATAAATATATATGCTACATTTTAAAATTCTATGCATGAATGTGCCGTAATAATAATTATTTGTATCCTCCTACTCAATAAATATAAACCATCGTCCTTTAAAATAAACATTAAAATGCTAACCGTGTTTTTAATAAGCTGATTTTTTTTTACATGATCAGAATTATTCTGCTCCAATAATAAAAAAGTATTTCACAGTTAAAATATTAACATGCTTTAAATAATTCTCCTCCAGCAGAGTCCCAGCTTTAAATGAAACAACATGGGCCACATCGTAAATGTTTGTGTGTTTTTATTATTATTATTCCACTATGAAAATATATGTACAATAAATAATTTGGATTTTCACTATTAAAGAATCTGAATAAATAAAGTAGGGTCTAAAAGTGGGGTCATCAGCAGGGCTCATCCTTCCAGAGCAGTCCAGCTCTCTGCGCAAAGACTCCGAGAACAGTTCCTGAGAGGTTAGTAACGATCCGTGAAGCTGCACCGGGACGGACTAAAGAGGGAACACATCCACACAAAGGTCCATGAATTTAGAGGAAAAAATATCACAAACAAAAAGGGAAATAAATACCTGAAATGTGGACAAATGGAGAAAAACATCCACAGCGTTTCAACCGTGAAAAAAATAATTTCCCTTCGATGTTTTAATTTAAAAAATGAATCTCTCTAAAAATAACCACCAAATTAAACCAGCAAAAAAGAGGAAAAATGTATTTAAAAACGAACATAATTTTCATTCAGAAAATGTTTCAGGAATGTTGCCGAGAAGCTTTCTGAACAACACACTCCTTCGCTCGATTGTTCGTCCACACAGGCCCGCCAGTCCTCCGATCACTCGCTTTTTTTTTTAGATTGAGTTTTTATCTAAAATATCGCAGCTCTTTCTCAGAAGTTGAGGTGCTGCAGGTCGATGGTGCACAGTGTGCTCGTGAACAGATCGAAGTCCTCCTCGGAGAAATCCACCGGACTGTCCAGAGAGCTCTGCAGGCTGGGGGACAGGCAGGCGTCCCCGGCGAAGAAGGTCAGGTCCGGGAGCGCGGAGGAGGCCGAAGGAGCCGAGGAGGAGGTGATGGAGGAGTCCTGCTGCTCCGGGAACGACGGATCTGACGCCGGTGCTGTTGCTGATCCGGGCTCGTTGAGCTGTATCAGGCCCGGGTCTGGCGGGGAGTGGTGAGCCGTGGCGGCGTCCGAGGAGCCAGATGCTCCGGGCAGCTGTGGGCGGCTCAACCCGCCTCTCTCCTCCGGCGTGGGCTGCGTATTGTCGCCGCTGTCAGCAGTGTAGGCGGCCGATGATGGATTGCCACTCCCGGATTCACTCTCCGATGAAGCCTCCCCGGTGCCTGAAGCCTCCAGCGGCTGGCTGGAATACGGAGAGGAAGCGTCGGCTCCTTCGAGCGGCTCAAACCCGCCCGGGTCGCTGGACTCGGGGCCTCCACCGCCTCCGTCCCGGTGGTGCGTGGTCTGACGTTTGTGTTTCATCCGCCGGTTCTGGAACCAGACTTTAACCTGCCGCTCTGTCAGGTCTAAAAGAGCGGCGATCTCCACCCTCCTGGGCCGGCAGAGGTACTTGTTAAAGTGGAACTCCTTCTCCAGCTCCAGCAGCTGCGTGTTGGTGTAGGCGGTGCGCAGCCTGCGGGAGCCGGCTCCTCCAGCATCCAGAGCCGCCTGTCCCGGGTCTGCAGGGAGAGACAGAGACACACAGAGGAGCAGGTAGAGAGATATTAGGTGGAGGATTTATGGTGCAAAATCATCTGCAGCTATTCTCATTTTTTATCTTAATTTTATATTTCGTTTAAACTTCAAATTGTAATCTACTTCACGAGCCCGTAAACCATCTACACTTTTATTGCATGCAAGATTTCCAGCCAAGAAAAAAGCTGCTGCAGCGTCGGGCTCGAATCCCCTCGGCTCTTCTGTCTGTAATAAAACAGTAATAAAACAAAAAGTCTCATAAAAAACACTCCCTCCAATTACAGTAGCTGCCAAAGACATAACTGTAAGAGCGGAGCAATTTGGTGCAGGTAAAATAATAATAACAATAAAAAAGGAAAAGGCAGATAAAGACTGATGATCTCAGTGTCAGGGTGGGATTCTCGCTCCTGTGCAGTCAGCCTGCCGAGAGAGGCTGCAGCCCGCGAGCAGAGAAAGCAAAGACAGCAAAATAAATAAATCAGAGGATGGAGAGGAAATGTGCAGGGAAATGTGGGAATGTCGACGTGAAACGAATGTGGCGGTATCTGTCAGAAACAAGACCCCGGACAGCTCCATGAGATCAGAAGAGGAGAAAACAAGAATGTCCTTTTAAAAATGTGTGTGTGGGATGTTGGATAAAAAAAAAAATGATTTTGAACATGTGTGTGAAAGACAGAAATGATCTAAGCCAAAAATGTGTGCAGTGTGTATCCTGTGTATAGCTGAAAACCCTCCCAACCCCCACCCAACATATTCTGCTCTGTTACTGTGCCTCGCCATTATATTTCCTTCTTCCATCCAATATGGCTACCATCTCAGTTGTGTTATGAATATATAACAGCAGGAAGATGCTGCTGCTGCATATCACAGCACACAGAGAGCAGGATGAGGCAAGCTGCAGCTTCTGCACGAGGGAGAAAGACACAAAAACTCATCTGTGCGTAATTACGCACGATAAATAACCCTGCATAACATAATGCATTTATAAATGTGGTCTCTGAGCTAACAGGATGCTGGTGTGAAAGCTTTGCACTCAGTGTGAGGCTGAATGTTACATATTGATCCTGCACGTGACGGAGATGATGTGTGTGAAGCTTTAATGGTGCATATTTAGATGCATGATGACAGAGTGTGCAGAACACTGCAGCATAATGCAGGGGTCTAGATATGGCTTCCCTGTTGACACAGCATCACTGCACAGCACACACAATCAGACACACACATGTACACACACACACACACACACACACACTGAGGAGCAATAAGACAATGTCATGTAAGCACTTTGATGCTGTGTGTAATGAAGGTTATCCCTGCACTGAAATGTAGACAGAAAATGAAAGCACAGGCTGCACTCTCTCATCACACACCCGCACATGACTCCCCCATCCCGGCATACCGACCTGTGGGCGACTCGATGCCCGTCGAAGCGTACCCAGAGGCGGTGGGCGACGGGGATGACGATGCTGGAGGGATGATGGATCCTGCACCGTTGGAGCTGTTCCCAGGTTTAGGGCACTTCTTGGATGACTTCTTTTCCTTCATCCAGGGGAACTCGTGGGCCAGCGGACCGGCCGTGGTCGCCGCGGCCGGGGCAGGGGCCTGGCCGGGCGGACAGGGCTGCTGGGCAGCTCGGTGGTGCGTCTGGAGGCCATTAGTGGCGGAGGTTCCCCGGTTCTGCTGGCTCCTTGCAGTCGGTCTCGGCTGGCTGCCTGTGCAGGGGCTGAGGCTGGGGATGGTGTGCTCGAAGGGAGGCGGAATTACTGTCGACTCCTTGATTGATGAAGTTTGAAATGACTCCAGGACGGCGGGGAAGGACGTCAGGCACTCTGCGAGGGACGGCTGGCTGTTTATAAAACCGATCTCCCTCTCGAATTCAAAATTCATAGCTCCCTTAGACCGGATCACCCTCGCACGGCGAGACCCCCGAACAATCCCTTCCCCAAAATAAAAAAAACAAAACACATACGCGCACGCACGCGCGTTCACACACGCACACAACACAATGTGGCTTCTTAGAAAAAATAAAAAAACGCACGAGCATGTAGGCTCCCGACCGCAGTGGCGTAAATGCGATGCTATATAATAATTGTGTATATTGGTGATATTACTAGCGTATGGGGACCCTGGTAGGCTAAACTGAAGAACTATGGGGCGAATTTGCAGCCAATTCCTGGTCATGTGACGCAGGAGAGCCAATCAGGAGGCCGGGCCTGGCGGCGGTGATGGCTGTGGGAAGCAGCATTATTATTTTTCCACTCAAAGCTGTGGCACAGAGTGGCTTCATCCCTGGATAGCGGCTATTGTTTGGTCTTAACGGGGGGTAGACTGTGGGGAGAAAACACGGGAAGGCTGCCGGTCGCCATGTGCGCAGTGTGGGCGGCAGGTCGACGCATCCCGGCCCGGTGTTACGCACAAACAATAGAGCATCTCGAAGACGGTTTTATTTTCGGTCCTCTGGGTGATGTAATGACTGTTACAACATTAGGTGAACGGAGCAGGTCAGCAACGTTTCCAATATGGCTCCTTCAGATGTTTCCAGCACTCAGCTCATTAATCTTATCACATGTGACAGAGGCTGAAATCACAAACTCACACTGACAAAGTTGGAGGGTTAAAGAAGGTGCAGCAGCTCAGGAGGAGAGGATACTGTAGTGAAGATGAGGGCTGAGACACTAACTTAGATTGAAGTGTGAAGAAAGGGAGCCTGGTGCTGTGTAAGTGCATTTTCTGTATTTAATGGGAGAATATTTTGGACGATAGTTGTAGGTGTATTTGTGAGAATGAAACCTAAATATACTCTAACTGAAATAGTCTCACAACCTCCAAATACTTCACGCTGTCCAGTTTGTCTCTCGCGCTCTGTCTCAGTGTAATGTGTGTGTGTTAAAGTGTTTACGCACAGAGAGAGAGAGAGAGAGAGAGAGGGGGGGAGTTCACAGCGAGGTCGCTCCGTGAGACTGACAAAGGAGGGCAGCGCGCTTAGGCCTCCTCTTCCTCCTAACAACAGAACAAAATATTAACACAGCAGTTATAATATGAAGGCTAATAGTGAGTGAGTTTAACAGCGAGTGGAGTTCAGACTCTATAGGACGCACATGTAGATTTTTATAAAGAGCAGGAGCTGGGGAGTTTAGCAGAGGAGAGCCTATTTTGGGGGGAGCCCCGGGTGGAAAAAAAAGAAGTGCGGTGATCAATCTTTCCCTGCCTGCAAAGAGGCTGACAGCAGCCCCTCTCTCTCTCTAAATAACAAGAAAACCTCCAGTCTCACTCCCTCTGTCTCTCTCCTCTTTGGTTAATCTTTCGCCATGTTTTTTTAAAATTCTTTACGCAGTTTTTACGCGCCACAAGCACGCGCAGAAATATCTAATCTACTTAAAAAAAAAAAAAACGGCGCAGATAGCAAGAACAAATCGTTTCAAACAACCAAACTCTGCCTCTCGTTCTCATGCCTTTTGACTCTGAGGACAAGAAAGCAGAAATGTGTGTGGGAGTGAGAGCCATTGAGCGCATTGAGGCTGCATGGAAACACAAAAACACACACACACACACACAGCAGAGCCGAGCTGTTGACTGAGCTAACACAGAACACTTTCTTAATTTTCTACTTTTTGTCACAAATTTTAAAATACATTTTCACATTATTTTCTGTAATTCCGGCGACTTTATTTCGGAGTTTCTTAGATGGAAAGCTGATTTTTTAAAAGCTAGTTTTTCACTGTGGGAATAAGCCTGCACATGTCGGCTAAAGATGTTGACTTCTCACTTCTAATTTAACTAAAATTTCCAATCGTCTTTTAAAATATTTTATTTAGTGATGTGTTCTGTAAAATGTGATTACTCATAATGTAGCAGTTTTTAATTGTTGATCCAAGTTACGAGATTTTAATTACAAAAACAAAACAATTAAAAAATAAATGACTAACAGTTCATACCTCAGGTTTTCATTTCTCCATTATCTGTTTTTGTTAAAACATTTATTTTTTTTAAAACAATAGAAAAGAAAACGGTGACAGATTCTGTTGAGTCCCCGTGTAAACATTCAGGATGTTTCTGCAGTTCAACTTTTAATTGTAGCTTTAATAATTATTACAAATATTAGATTTGAATTCAAACTGATTCTGGACGATAAAAAGGTGATGTCTGTACATTTAAACAATTAACTTTAATGGTTTTATTACTCTACAAATCTTAGCCTCATTACATCTTAGTTGTAGTTTTGGAATCTTCCTCCAGCCTGTCTGTACCTGATCTGTACCTGTGTGCTGTGCACCTGTGAACGTGCCTGCAGTTTCCAGCAGTGCGCGCGCTGCTGAAGCAGAGCTGTGCGTCTGTTTTTACGAGGCAATAAATTAGATCCAATCTCTGCTTATTGGTGTTTTTATTGTCTGTTAGTCCAACGGAGATGTAAAGGGAAGTACGGCCATTATTTATGGGCGTCTGATTTATGTCTTTAAGTTTTATGCTGCTCTCAGGCCTCTCAGCACAAGCGCGTGCTAAAGCGAGGGGGGGGGGGGGGGGGGAGAGAGAGGGAATGAGTAAGAAACCATGTGAGTGAGCCGATGCGCAGGCCTCAGGGCTTTTTTTTAAGTCATAAACATCAACACAGAGTTGGAAGATCAGGGAGAAACTCTGTGAAGCAAAGAGAGAAAAACAGATTCTTCTTCTTCTTCTTCTTCTTCTTCTGTGGTTCAGCAGAAACTATTTAAGTCACAGGAGGAGAGCGACCTCTGAGTGAGTGATGCAGAGAGTGACATGTTTTTAAATATAAGAGCAGATCAGTTAATAAATCCAAAGCTCCAACCATCTGCTGGGCTCAAAGGGTTCTCTAGCTCTGGTTTGAGGGCCATGTTTGGGTCCACAAAGGGTCCATAATGGGGTCCAGAGCTTTTGACCGTGTTTCAAGGTCTGGCTCATCGGTTTCAGAGATAAAGAAGTCGTTCAAACTGTAACGGAAGCTGGGTGAGTTAGTGATTCTGGGTCGAACTTTACAGAGGTCAGTTTGGGTCAAAAAATAAAACTGCTAAACTTAAGACGCCTTGTCGCCTCTTTCTCGTTCCAACATCTAAAGGAACCTTTTTTATCCGTAGTGATGAACTGCACTAACTTTATGAATGTTCATGTTGTTGTTCTGCAGCTCAGTGAGAGTTACCACGTCACTCGCTCATCGATTCAAAGACGTTCACTTTAAAGTTTTTCTTCCACCTCAAAGTCTTTCAGTAACAGGTATCAGGTGTCGTACAGTAACAGTTCTCGGCTTTGACCTTTGACCCAGAAGAATCTGACGTTAGCATCCGTGGCTCATGCTAACGTTTAAGGTTGAATTTGTTTTCGTTGATTTCTGACGTCTAACATGTGGCTTGAAGCGTCGCTTTGAACTTTGGGGACCGTTTAGTGACAGTGACACCGGAGGTGATGACCCGATATTTAATACTGAGACAGTCAGACGACCTGTGCAGGATTCAAACAGTTCTTTACTCTTTAAAGGATTCAGGTCAAATATTTCTGATGTTTATTTTTATAATTAATAATTTCAGAGGGTTCAGACGGTTTATATCTTCCTTCAAAGGTTGTTGGTTTGAATCCTGGTGTGATATTAATTTTATAGTTTTGGTTTCTTTGCAGCCGAGCGGAACTGTTCAGAGCGAGGGCGTGTAGAGCGACGACGTGTAGAGCGAGGGCATGTTTCGCACTAACAGTAACGCTTCCTTTCTTTAAACACAAAGAGAACGAGTAAAGTTTTTTACAGCTGAGTCATTAAAGACGGAGGCTAACTCTGAATAACATAACATTTTATTAAAGAATTGTTCGACAGACGACTCTCTCAACAATGAAAGAAAAGGAGCTACAAAGAACAAAGAAAGAAGACTAACAGTTGGTCTAAGTGTTTCAGACTACGCCCCGCCCGGGCCTCTCCCCCTGTACAAGCCAAGACATGTATGTACACGGGTCATCATAGGAACAGAAAAACTACCATTTCTTCTTCTAAAATACAAGAACTAAAAAATGGAACTTCAGTACAACGGACAAGAAGAAACACAACTTTGTTTTTTTTCTTTCGTAACAGGTAAATACTAAAAAAGTACACTTTTTTTTTCTCGATATAAATACATGAAGGATAAATAATAATCATACAAAACAGAAAGTCTTTTTAAACTGGCTATAACAAATAAATATTTATATATGAATGTTCACTTGAACACACATCGGCGAAAGACGCTTTGATTGGAGGGCCTTCCGTCTTCAAAATAAGATTTCATTATTATTATTTTTGACCTTTTTAACCATCAAAATGTAAACTCTAAGTGCAACAATGACGCCCAGGAGCGAGGAGCGTCAGTGTCACTCTGCACTTCATGAAAACTGTCAACAGGTTTATTCTCAGAGCAGCAGAGAGTGTGGAGAGGGTCTGCACACATACACACACGCGCACACACACACACACGCGCACACACACACTGGCAGAAACTGTCTCATGTGTCTCTCTGACCGCTCAGATAAATAAACTCTGCAGGTTTCAGAGTGTGTCGAACACGTCCGCTCGACCTCTGGGACGGTCATTTTTGTTCAAATATATATACCCTGTATCCACGTTTAAAAGTAAACGAGTGAGAACAAAACTCAAAACCATATAAAAGTGTGGACATGATGGTGTCCGCTAATGAAAGAGAACCCTTCAGAGAGAGGGAGAGAGAGAGAGAGAGAGACAGAGGGAGGGGGGAGAGAGAGAGGGAGGGAGAGAGAGAGAGAGAGAGGGGGCAGTGATTTACCCCAACATAAATAAATAGTGTTCTCCACTCTTTATACCCTGTGTCGATGATGTGCTAAAAGAAGAACATTAAAAAAGTCTCTTCGTTTCCTCTCGAGTTTGTTTGAAGATGTCAACAGCTGGTTGTGTGTGTGTGTGTGTGTGTGTGTCAGCAAAAGGAAGCTAGCTTAGCATCACCTGATGATGTGTGTGTGTGTGTGTGTCTGTGAGGGGGGGGGACTTCTTAAGAACGACATTTCACCTATTGATGGGTCTTTTTCTTCGTCTCTTATCGGTTCGTCTCAGAGTTGTATTTCCTTAAAGTGGCTCTAATCATTTCTCAGATTATTTTGATAATAAAATCAAACGTTCACATTTTGATCTTAGCCTTAATCACCGTCTTGCCCTAAATGTCAGCAGGTAGATCTGGTGCATAGAGCCAAACAAACTTTGACTGTTATGTTTAGTTTTATAAAAAGTTCAACAAGATGGCAACGTGTGCACTGTTACCTCCACCTCATCCCCCGCCCGCCCTTCAGGTGAAATGTCATCATTTAAGGAGTCCTGCATGAGGCAGAGAGAGCTAACGTAGCTTAGCACAGGTGTGTCTGTGGGGGCTTGTTAAGCCTCTGAACTCGTGGCTACTCAGGTGTGCTGAGTGTGTGTGTGTCTGTGGCGGATTGTGAGAGGTTGTGCCTCCTTCAGAAGCCGTGTGCTGCTGCCACAGACGGAGACGGAGGGTTAGTAGTGATTCAGTCTGAACGGGCGGAGACATGGGGGGGAGGCAGAACGAGACGAGGAAGACCATCCAGAGGTTTTTAATGTGCTGAGCAGAAACTGAGGAAGACGAGGGCCGCCAGCTCCAGCTGTATTTCAGGCAGAGAGCTCCACATAGCTCAGGCTGACAACAACACGTGTTGCCTGGGGGGGGGGGGGGGGGGGCTGCGTCATAAATCTACCCACCTCGTTAACTGCACATTAAAATCTCAACTATTTCATTGAGCGAGCGGGAGAGCTCTTAGTGTATGTGGGAGCCTTAGAGGGGAGCTTTATGATTAAAGTATCGTTCTAGTTAGCCGAGTCGTTACTGGCTACTTTACAACATGCTAGCTGAGACACCAAAACGGTTTGTGAAGTCAAATCAGGTTAAACACGTCAGGAGGGAGGCGTCCTGTAGTAAAGCTTCATAATGTCACATGTTCTGCTTGGAGCTTTTTCTTTCACTTTGACGTTTGGGATGTTTGAACACAGACGTCCATACTGCAGTAAACTCTCTCGTCTAATGAGCACTGACTGAAACACGGAGCTCCCCGTTCATCTCTTTATGCCGTACAGCTGCCGATACGTCTCTGCACGAGCGCCACAAGACGAGCGGCCTGACAGTTATTGTCTCCCCGGGGGGACGTGGGAGACGATTGACTGTACAGCTCGTCTCCCACGCGTACAGAACGCTTCACTGCTCTCAGAGGAGGGAGGACGCTGTGAAAGGGTTTGGGTTCAATTTGTAAACGTGGATAAAAGCTGAGCTGGATGACACAAACGTCTCTGATTGGTTTAAGATAAAGTTTAAGTCGTTGATAAAAATAAACTGAGATTAGCTTTCTTTAGTTTGGTCGTGGCGGAGCTGGACGTTTAGTGTTTTTAGAGCACAAGACAAACCACTGGATGTCTCCTGTTGGTCTCGCTCTGTCCCCCCCCTCGTGCCCCCCCCTGCAGCAGTAGAGTCCCCTCGTGTCAGTCTGTTAGTGAGTCGGGGTCGTGGTCACTCGTTCTGCGTCGTCTTCACTACCTTCTACGTTTTGTTCCAAACCTGCTACAGGTGAGTGAGCTTGGGTGCTTCCTGGATTCTGCCCTGAGTCGAGGTGTGGTGCGCCGACAGCTCGGTGTACGTCGGGTGTGTGGGGGGGTCACAGGGACCCTGGGGGCCCCCTCCACCCACGTGGTGCTGGTTTGCGGCCGACATGGGCCCCCCGCCATTGTAGTCCATGGTTTGGTGGAGGGGGGGCGTGGGGCCGAGGTGGTTCAGGCCGTACATGGAGGGCCCCGAACCTGGCATCTGGTCCACATAGCTGCCGCCCCCCACATACACCGGACTGGCCTGCATGTTGGTGGGGGTCCCGTATCCTGCGTTGTTGGCCTGCACCAGGCCGTGGTGGGGATGGGGGTCACCGTAGTCCGGGTCTGGGGCTCCGTACTTCTGCTGGGGGGGGGCAGCCCTTCATGGGGACGTTGGAGTAGGCAGTGGACATGGAGTAAGACACGCCCTGGTGCGGCTTGCCGAAGGACGGAGGAGACGGGACGTCGTAGCCTCCGCCCCCGCCCCCTCCTCCCATGGCGTGCATGGAGTTGAGGAAGCTGGCGGAGGACTGCATGGTCAGGGGGGGCGACCCGGTCGGCGAGGGCCCTCCGGAGCTGGAGCTCAGGCCCTTGGACTTCTGGTCCTTCTTGTACTTCATGCGTCGGTTCTGGAACCAGATCTTGATCTGGCGCTCGGACAGGTTGAGCAGGTTGGCCATCTCCACGCGACGCGGCCGGCACAGGTAGCGGTTAAAGTGGAACTCCTTCTCCAGCTCCACCAGCTGGGCGCTCGTGTACGCCGTGCGAGCTCGCTTAGAGGACGCCGACGAGCCACTGGTCGGACTCTTCTCCCCGCTGCTGCCGCTCTCTGCTCCTCCCGACACTGAGGACAGGAAACAGAGAAGGAGTTAGAAGACGAGAAGGAGATAAGGAGAGGTCGCAGGGAGGAAACAGAACAACTTTAAAGAGAAACTTTAAAAAATGAGGACAGTAAAATGGAGAGAGAGGAGGAAACACTGCGGCTGCATGCTGGAGGAAACTGGGTGTTAATAAAGCAGAGGGTGGGGGGGGGGTCTGGGCACGCCGGCTGAATTATCCCCTGATATTAGTTGTCAACACTTCATAACAGTGGCAGTTATTAAGAGACGGAGGCCCCGGTGCTAGCTCAGGGCAGCTAAATTGCATCTTGGCTTGGAAAGACAAAAACCCCCCGCAGCAAGAGCAGCTGCAGCACAAAGACGACAAGCTCTGAACCGAGGTCAACCTGAGCGCGCTTTAATCAGAGCGACAAAGAAAGTCAAACATCGAGACACGTTTCTGTGACAGTTTGAGCTGACAGGTGTTCATTCAGATACCTGATACAATGACCCACTGCTGAAGTATCTGCTTTGGATTTGAAGAAGTTCTTACCTACATAGGAGGTCATGCACTGATGTAGCTTACAGTACAGATCGCTCTGTTATTCAACTCTTCTTCATCATTTAAAAGGAGGGTCACTGAATGTCTCTAACACATCCCTCCAAAGCCCCCCAACGCCACCTCATGCACACTTTGGATCTTCTCACTTTAACCTCGAGGACAGAGTGCTGACATCACTCCAGAGAGGAACCATAAACTTCTAATTCTTAAGAATCGGCCGCTGAACCAGCTTCCACATTCAAAGAGTCGGGCTGCTTGAAACGTGTTAAAACCATCCACTGTATTTAACAAGTAAACAAAGCCAACATGACATCATCCAGCGGTTTGTCTTAACACATATGTCCAAGAACGTGCAGACATTTTGATTCTGTTCAGGTAACAACTTCAACACTTGGAGGCCATGGCCTGCAGACTATATTTCTTCTTCTTCTTTAAATGGGACGATCATTTCATAAATAATCACACTGTGATGAAGAAGACTTGAAACCAGAGTGTGAGACCATAAACTCTTCAGGCAGGAATAAAATCAGCAGAGAACATTTGATCCTACAGTAGATTCTTTTTGCAACCAGGTGAGTCGCCCCCTGTAGGCCGTTAACAGAATGCAGGTTTCAGTCACCTCTGCAGTGGCTTCAGTTAAAACCATGAGGCTCCAACCACTTGTAGTCTGAGGTTCAAACTAATAAAAGCTGATGTAGCACAGCTCCAGCGAAGTGAGATCATATCTGTGTGTAATCATATCTCCTCCAGTACAAACAGTCCACTCTCGTGTTTCTTTCTCTGAACGGAGCTAAACATCGTCCGTCTCTCAGAGCGCTGAAAATCTCTAAATGATTGTTTCCATTTCTCATCAATAAAGCGTCTAATCTGTGCTAAACTCTCCGCTCATATTCATTATGACACCATGTATTTTTCTCATTGATAACTAACATATCAGCCGCTCTGTTATCAGACATGCAGATGATATTCAAATTCATCATCCTGCTCTGTTCCCTTTTCTTTCATTTGTTAATATCTCCCATTGCAAACGTCTGCGTGTCATTCTCCGCCCTCTCTGAGAATCTGTTCATCTGTTATCGTACATGACGTTTAAATTCATCCGGGTGATATCTTCATGTTGCCAGAAGAGAGGAGGAAGGAGAGGAGGAAGGAGAGCAATCAGAGAGCAGGATGATAACCAGAGGGAGGAGGAGGAGACGATGAAGAGGAGGATGGTGGCAGCTGTTCTGCTGCTGAAGTCAGCTTAAAAACAAATAGTTCTGAAAGTTTAAACACGGTCTTGAATCCCTGCACTGATCCTGTTTCCACCTCGTTCAAAGTGGAGAGAAGTGCTGGATCTATTTCTGGATGAATCACGCTGCTTATGTGCAGGTTCAGGTATAAATCCCCATGACATGATGGCTTCAAACCTGGCTGTTTGACAAGAAATAGTTCCCTCCATGTTACTCCTGAAACCCCACACCACACTGTGGCTTTCAGATTTCTGTTTGTAAAACTATGCAGTTGGTATTTTCATTTTCACGAGTACAAAATTCAACCAGTTCTATTCTTTCCTCAGACAGAAGCAGGCTAACTCATTCCCCCTGCTTCCAGTCTTTAAGCTGAGCTAAGCTAAGCTAATCACCTCCAGACTACAGCAACACCTCAAATGTGGATGTAAGGAAGAAATTATCTTCAAACCAGGATGCATTTTTTAGATCTTGAACTTATCAATATGTCAACCATATTTCTTTTCCTATAGGTACATCAACGGCCCTTCATCTTCCTGCTTTTTCCTTTTTCAGGGCGTCACTCCTCCTGGTTTGCAGGAGTCTTTATCAGTCTGACATACTTCTTCTAATATTCAGGATATTTAGAGAATTGAAAGTCACTCTCCTGATCAGTTCTGCTCATTAAGGAGACTCAATCAAACGCAGCAGACTAGATTCTTCTTCATAATGAATGTTGAAGTGAATCCTGCTCATCAGCCTCATCAGCTCCTTTAAAGCAACATTACATTATACTCCAGATAAATATTAAGCAGCCTGACGAGCTGCCTGTGGTCATTTCCCCGTGTGAAGCAGCGCCTTTGGAAACCTGTTTCGCCATAAATAGTCTGAGAAACCTTTGAAATCCTCAGGGGGATCTGAGGCTCGATGTTGATAAGAGAGTTGAGGAGACAAGACGCTAACGAAGGAAGCAAGAGAGAAGGATGACAGAGAAGGAGAAATGAGACAAAGAGAGGGAGGAATAATAATGTGTGTGTGTGTGTGTGTGTGTGTGTGTGTGTGTGTGTGTGTGTGAGACAGGTGTGATGTAACACACCATTGCCAGAGTTGTTGCTGGGCGAACAGTTTTTCTGCTTGGTGTTCTGCCGGCTCTCCTTCATCCAGGGGAAGATCTGCTTGGCGAGTGTGGGGTTAGGGGGCAGCGAGGAGGACGAGGACGAGGTGGAGGACGAAATGGACGAGGACGAATTGGAGGACTTATTGGGGCCTGATTTGGACACTGAGGAGGCCCCAGCACTGCCCCCCGGCTGCTGAGCCCCGGTACTACCATTGCTGGGGTTGGGGGGCAGTGGGGGGGACACCTGGGAGGCGGGGTGGTGCTCTGGCGGCAGGCTGGGCCGCATGCAGCTGCCATTCAGCTCCTTGTTCTTGGCGAGCTGCTGATGGCTGCTGTTACTGCCCAGCGCCTGTAAGGAGCACGCCGAGCGCTGGTACGAGTCCACGTCCAGATGGGACGCCGACTGGAAGGCCGGCTGGTGGTGGGACACGGGGGCCGACGCATCGTAGCCCCCAAAGCCGTTGGCGGCCGCCGCTGCCGCTGCAGCAGCCCCCTGCACCTGGTAGGACGAGTAGCCACCGAACAGCGTGGAGGAGTTGTCGTAGTACGTTGTCTTCTGCATGTCTGAGAGGAGAGGCGGCGTCTGCGTGTGCTCCGGTCCTTGATGAGAGCCGCTGCCGGAAGACCATTTGGTACCGGGGGTCACGTGACGGTGTCTCTCCAACGGTCCCCTGCAATCTGACCTGAAAGGTTAGCAGAGGAAGAATAAAGAAATAAGAGAGATAAATCCATCTTCCTGCAGTGAAAGGCGCCATGACATGAATAGAAACCAGCGCTTTTCTTTTCTCAGTCACCCCCCCCCCCCATCCCCCTCCCCACTGAGCCTGTGCTCAGCCTGCAGATGCTGTGATGGAGGGGGCACGAGGAGGGCAAACACACACACACACACTCGCATAAAAAACACACCAATGTTGAATTTAAAGAGAAATAAAAAGATAAACGCCCTCACTCAGATTCAGATGAAGAATAAGCATCAGCATTATTTGGTTCTTTTTAAGTTAATTTTTTAAATAATGATTACTGAGTTTCAGAATTCGTAA